GCCACAGGCGCCTCACTCCTGCCCACGCTGCCCACTCCTGCCCGCTCCTTCTGCCATCTCCACTGTGCATCCCGCCTGCGGGCGCATGGGCTTTGGGGTGTTCAGGAAAGGGAGGAAGAGACCTTTAGGGGGGGAGGATGCTGCTGGGCTGGGGACAGGAGCCACCATTGTCCTGGTGTCTGCAATGGGGAACAAGTGCAGCTTCTTTTTTCAAGAAGTTCTTTTAAGAAGTTTTTATTAAAAAAGGAATAAATGATAATCAGTGAGGCTTTTTCCTCTGAGCCCTGTGTGTTCACTATTTCTGACCCACTCGGACCCTGTCCAAGGAACATCATCCTGGGAAGAACCATTAACTTTAAACCTTAAAACCCAGTTTCCCCTGGTTCCAGCTGTGCTTCGGGTGCCCGTTTGGTGCCCCACAGTTGCTGCAGGCATTGCAGTGACTGGGACCTTTCCACCAGACTGGTTTCACTCCCATTCCATTCAGCATCCAGCGCTGCTGGGAATGGCTCCGGAGAGGGTGGAAAGGTGTCACAACCCTCAGAAAGGGCCCACCTCTGACTGCCCTGCCGTCAGCCCTGGTCTGGCACTGTGCAAACACAGAGAAATTATTTTGGGGCTAAGCCAGGGGCAAATTTTCAGGTCTTTGGGTGCCCTTTCCCCTTGCAGACAGCTCTCTGCCCAGCTCCTCCAAACCTGAACAACTTTAAATGTTGTTTTTCCAGCTAGCAGGGAAAGCAAGAGAGGATGCTGTTCTCAGCTCGGGGCAGTACTGAACTCTGGTTTCCAGCCCGCTGGGTGTTCGGGGACCCTCCCTTGCCCAGCCCCACACCTCTCCAAAGGTACCCGCAGCAGCAGTATCCTGCGCCCTTTGCTGCGATACCGATGGCTGTTCCCCGCATCCTGCGGTGCCGAAAGCCGCTGCATCGTCCGTGTGAGTGTGTTTGCATCCCCCCCATCCAGCCTCGAGGCTTCTCCTGCCACCCCGATGGACCCTGGGGACGGGCAGACACCCCCCGCCACTCCCCCCAGCACCTGAACAGCTCCAGCAGCAGACAGACATACTTTAGCTCCGATTTTTATGTCACTTTGGGGTTTTGTTGTTTTCTTCCCTATTGCATTTTGCAATGGCAGGAAAGCAAATCTGCTATTGACACTGGGAAGTGCAAATCAGGCAGTGGGGGGCGGGGGGGGAGGCACAGTGGTCACCAGCCCCACAGGTGTGCAGATGTTTGCAGCTGGGGCTGGTCAGCTCGGAGCAGCACTTTGACACCCATCCCCTCGGCAAGTCACCCAAAGCCCAGGTGATGGTCGCACCGGTCAGAGAAACAAGTCACGCTTCCAGGAACCGCTGGAGAGGGGCGCGGGAACCACCCGGGGAACAAACCCCCAGTATGAGTTCGTACCAGCAAACCTCTGACCTGACCCCGGCCCAAGTGCGAATAAACAACTCTGAATGGCACAATGGGGCTGTGTCTGCGGGGCACAATGCAGAATTGCCGGTTATTATCTCCACGTTGCCAATCAATAACTGCCTTTCTGTAGAACAAGAGGAGTCAAAGTGATGCTCAGTGCTGCGGGGGATGTAGAGCCCATCCTTAAAACAACACTTGGGGCTGGAGGAGGCCAGTGCAGCTGCAGCCGGAGCCTGACTTGTTCCCACCTCCTCTCCCTTTGCCAGCTGCTCTCAGCGTTCCCAGAGGCTGCCTGGGATGGGATGTGCAGAGCTTAGTCCCCACTCAGGACAACGCTGGCTGTAGAGTAGTTAAATCAACAATACTGTACTTGCACAAAGGCTTTTAAAAATGGAAAAAGGTTGTGCTCAGATGATACTACAACAAATGACGCACAAAACTTGCCTGGCTTTGACAAAAAAAAAAAAAATCTTAAAAATTTTGCATACTTTGTGTGAAGCTGTCAGGGAACCGTGAGATGCCGGCACAGCCGGTACTGTTCACAGCGTTACTGGAGGGGCTGCACTGCCAGCTCATTCCCGGCACGGCCAACTGCGCGGATCACGTGTGTGGTGGCATCCAGAGGAGCCCCAGCCAGCTCAAGGCATCCTATTGTTTGAATAGGGTTACAAACGTGGGATAGAAAACAAGAGGATAAACTTCAGATCAAGTGGTATTGTATTTAGCAAACTGATTATTTATTTTCCTGCGCTATGGATGCCTCTGCCTGCTGTCGGAGTGAAGACGTTAAATTTTCACAGTGTATTATGAAATCATATACAAAAAGGAAAAAAGCAGTTGACCTCGTGTTGTGTGAAGAGACACGTCTCGGGGAAAACAAAAAAGAAAACCAAGAACCAGAGTGACCGCTCGGCTTGCTGGCAATCCTCCACCTCAGTTCATACGTGCATCATGGACTCAAACTCATCGATCCGCTGTTTGGTGTTTCCTTTTCTGATCCTCCGGTAGGAGATTGTGTTGTATCGGGAGTAGCTGTGTCTGGAGATGTCGTTTTTCTTCCCCAGGCTGGGCGGCTCCCCTGGTTTCTCCGCCTGGGAGTTGCAGCAGGGGCTGGTCGGGGAAGGTGCCTCCTGGCCACTGTCGTGCTGCTTTAGACAGGTCGCCTCGCCGTTCTCCTTCTTCATTTCGATCACCTGAACCTCATCCTCCTCGGTGTCCTCCTCCTCCTCCTCCTCTTCCTCCTCCTCCTCATCCTCAGCAGCATCCCCTCTCCCGCCAGCGCTGGCTGCGGTGGTCCCCGCGGGCTCTTCATCAGCACAGGCTGCCGTGGTACCGGTGGGCTCCGTGCTGGGGATCGCTGTGGTGGTCCCCAGCGCCAGGTCCCCGCTGCCTGCAGGTGTCCCCTCGCCACCCAGCCCTGCAGGGACACAGAGGGACACAGTGAGGACAGGCTCAGCACCACTGTCACGCCTATTGTACCTCATACATGGTGCAGCATCACTCCTGGGGGCTCACCATCTCCTGTCACCAATGCACGCATCCTCTGGAGGTGCCTGGTCCAGGCTGGACCCCCATCAGCTCTATGTGCTTCAGAAAAGCTTCGTGCATGCTCAAACTCACTGCTTCAGACCCCTGCCCTTGCATTCAGACCCACGGCTGGCCAACACCTCCTGCAGGGATGCTGCGGGACCCCAGCGCATCCCGCCTGGGCTGCATCCCCACTTCAGGGTGGCCACCTGGCTGGGTCGGCCACCTCCGACCTGCCCTGGGCCACCACCGACCTGTCCTGGGCC